GCCACCTTACTCGGATCTGCATGTGTTATTTGCCGATACATCCCACAGTTCTACAAGACACTTGAGAAGTGACCGGTGTGTGATCCAATACAACAGCCAGCAGAGTGATCTTGCTTGCTGTGGACTCATCTTGTTGTGTTTCAAATAATAATAATAATAATCATCATCATCATCACCATCATCTTTAAAAAAATTAAAATGTACTGACAGCACCACATATTTGTCTTTGTGATTGGGGGTTGACACTGACAACATTTCTATTGTTGATGGGGTAAAAAATTAAATATTTGATGCTGGCAAGGGAGACTGTAGAGCAGGGGTCCTCAAACTAAGACCCGGGGGCTGGATATGGCCCTCCAAGGGGTCAACCTATGTCTGAAATGACTTGAAAGCACACAACAACAGCAATCCTATCTCATCAGCCAAAAGCAGGTCCACACTTCCTATTGAAATACCAATAAGTTTATATTTTTTAAATTTGTTTTTCATTTTAATTATTCTATTGTTTTTAAGTGGTTTTTTTTTTGCATTAGAAATAAGATGTGTACATGGGAATTCATTCATGTTATTTTCAAATTATAATCCGGCCCTCCAACACTTTGAGGGACTGGGACATGGCCCTCTGTTTAAAAAGTTTGAGGACCCTTGCTGTAGAGCATATTTCAATAATATTAACTTTTAAAAGTGTTAATTTATACTAATACCCTAAAAGCATTTGAATTTGTCTAACCTTCAAAGCTAGGCAGGTTCAACCCTGGTATTTGAATCAGAGACCACCATTGAATTACAGCTGGTGTAATCTGTGTTTCAGAGGAAGGAATTGGCAAAACCAATCTGAGTATTCCTGATTTATTTCTTACTTAATGATAGAGCAAAATATAAGACAAGCACATAGAGGGGACTCCCAAAAGGCCTTAGAAGACAGTTTTTTTATTAATATTTTTAAAGGAAAAACTAACACCAAATCTACAACATAGTTTTGGTGATCTTTTAATGACGAAACAACAGTGATCCCTCCTTCATATCAGCAAAGATGTGCCCCCCTCTTTAATATGTGAAAGAAGCTGTAGTTGATTTGGTGCCACTTACCATCCATCATTCGGTCCTCTATGGAACTACTTTTTCCCAGGCATTTACTGGCCCATCTTCCAGCACTCATGGCAGCATTGTCATTCCACATCTTAGCAAAACAAAACAAAACAAAAAGGGATAATCAGCAGTGAGAAGGCCTTACTGGTGCATTATTTAAACTGTTATGTTTATTCATATCATGATCTGATCACCATACTCAATATATCCCATATGCATGGGGGTATTGGGGTAACGATACAAAAGGTTTGCTAGGGTAGACCCTCTTTTGCTCAGACTCAGCCCCCCCCCCCCGAATCAAACTCAGCTCCCCCCGAAACAAAATCCTGGCTACGGGCCTGATCAACAGTCAGTATGTAATCAGGCTTTGAATACAATGCCTATTTACTCATCAGTTAACCTATCCAGCAGACATGCAATTTCATGTGTGCAAACTCCATGTAAAAATTCCTGCTAATGAGACTGGTGACAGAACATTTAGTGCTGAGGGCAAATGGAAATGAACATTCTTGTTTCAAAATCTGATATCTGATATCTGATTTGCTTTACAACTCTACATTCTAATGTTTAGTTTTCTGTTGAAAACTTCTCTGCCTCAAGAACAACAGGTGAAGAATTAGTTGGGTTTGGACTTTCAGGTGAGATTACTTAAATCTGCATCTTAAAGAATTAAATGCATACCTGTATTAAATCTGTGGGCAGAAATTCAGACAAAATATCATCCACAAAAATACACAACTTAACAGTTTAAGGAGAAATCTTAATGCACTTCTGAGCAGAAATAAAATCTCACCATACTATGTGGAACTAAAATGTAACAAGTTTAGTGATGGATAAACAGAACATCGAACTTCCCTCACTTTTAAGTTGTACATGGTTTCTTCCGGGAAGAACACAATGTGAGTTTTGCTGATTTATGCAGGAATAACAGGGAAAAACGAACACTGTATACCAACAAACACCAACATAACAACTATGAAAACTTTTGCTAATATAGAATTACTTATAATTTAATCTGTATAAATAAAAATATAAATGCCCATTTGTGAATGACCTCAAATCTCCCAAAATACTTCACTGATTGCTTTGAAATTTGGGCACAATGTAGCATTCAAACAGGTAAATGTTTTTGTGTATTCACATGCCTACTATTATATAGATTTCACACCTGTGACAGGTAAAAACATTCATGACATCAAAAACAGTGCCATCTGCTGGACGTCCAAGCAACACATTGTGAGGTGACCCCATCAGGGCCGGAGCTGCCATTAGGGATTCACGGCCTGGTCACCTCCCACCAAGTCTGCCTGTGTGCCTTCCTCTGGAGCAGAACTGGGAGACGAAAAGCAGGAAAAGGACAACAGAGCAGGTAGAGAAATCCAGGCTGGGGAGAGGGGTGGGGCATGGGCCCAGTGGAGAGAGGAAAGCAGGCCGGCAAGGAGGTAGGCCCAGCCCAAGCCCCGAGCTCCCATAGCCTCACACCCTGCCTGGCCTTGCCTGGCACTGGCATTGTCTCATGCTCACTCAGAAGGAAGGACGGAAGGATTGAATGGTAGGAAGGAAGAGATAGATAGAAGGGAAGGGAAGAAAAGGTTTTCTCCAAAACACATTGATCATTATTATATAGACCAGTATCATTGTCATTATTATCATTATTATATACACCAGTATTATTATTATATAGATTATATAGGCCAGTATTATTATTTGCATCATCATCATCATCATTATCATCATTTCAGAGAAAATGAAACAACAAAAATGTTATATACCCACAAACATTATGAAATTACATATATTAGAAACCAGCTCTTTCTCTTTTCTTTCTTTTCCATTTAACCAGACTGAGCCAAAGCAATGTGTGGCTGGGTACAGCTAGCAACCAATAATGCAGGCAAGTTACAAAAAAGATAAGTTTTGGAGGTTTGTTCATAAGTTGAATTTGTATGTAAGTCGGAACAGGTACATTTTTAAGTGTAACTCCAGCCATATATATATGTATATGTCTATCTATCTATCTATCTATCTATCTATCTATCTATCTATCTATAAACTTTAGATAACATAAGGAAGGGTTAACATCCCCGTGGAGTTTGTATTGCTGTCTGTACCCTGTTCTGAAGATTTCACCTCACTTTCTGTTCCTGTGTTACTTAGATTTTGGAAAAAATGGCTTGTTGTTGAATCAAGCTTGCAACAAAGCTTCAGTTGAGACACCTTCCCTCCCATGATAATTCTTTCTGAAGGACAGATTTCTCTCACTTCCTGTTGTCTCACCCCCATTCTTAACTATGAGTCATTTGTAAGTTAGACATTTGCAACTCTGGGACTGCCTGTACAATAAAATATTTAGTGATATGTTTTTATTATAAAGCCATCCCCAATATGTGAATCATAAACTGACAAGAAGACATAATATAGTGTATCATTTCTTTGAAATAAATTCAATAAATTTGTCTTTATACACGTTCTGTTTATAATTCCCAACTGTAAGGGCGCTTCTACACAGGCCTGAAACCCATGCTGAAATGGGTTTAAATAACCCACTTCTCCCCTTTCAGGAAGGCCCAGATCTAATGAGGTATTTCATTAATTCAAAACAAACCAAAAAAACCTTAGTTTGCTCTGAATTAAATAACTTTTACCGGATGCGTCATTTGGATGCTTCCGATAAAAACCAAGACAGGTTCCGCATTTTGGGACTGTCTGGATTGGCCTGGAGTCTTAATTTTTGTCCAATCATAAACTTGTAGGGATGGCTGTGACTTTCAACAATGATCACAGAAATTATCCAAAGGAAGTTGATATATGCTTCAAAGATAAACAAGATACCCTTTGGCTTAGAAAGCAAAATCAACTTTTGCAAGTGGAGCGTCTCAGTAGGACTTTAACGAACTGAAGGTATATGTACAAGACATAAAAGATTTGTAGTATCTCATCTCCTTTTTTTAAGTGAGCACAAATAAATAATTGTATATATCATCTTGGAAATTTTAGGGAGAAATTTGTCATAGCCAAGCTTACAAGGAAGAACACAATTGAATTGCATCTTACCATTTTCATCATATTGCTAGAAGTTGGTTGCACCTTTCTCCTGATTTCATTGTGTATGTCAATAATTTCTTTTTTCTGCATTTCAGAGACCTCACTTAGCGAACCATCTGCCTAAGGATAAAAGAAGTTGAATGTTTATCCTGTTTTTAATCAAGAATGAGTAGTAAACACAATTCATGTTTATGTATTATTCCGTTACATTGCTAAAGATTGCTGAAATCTTAATCTTTGACATTGCGTAGAGTTACCAACATGAGCTCCAATTCATCTTCTGCATTTCAAAAGTCAGAGACTGGGCATTTCGCTGGAGATGGAATAGGTCCGTCACTGCCTTCCTGGATGTTATTACTTTTCTTTTCCCCATTTGCATAAGACATTTCTTACTTATTTCCATCTCAACTGTCTTCCCTAACAAGAATTGAAAGGGGCTGTTTTTTTAAAAGAAAGAAATGGAACAAAAAAGGGTCAGTGAAAGATCCATCTCTCTACCTTTCCTACAAAGTATCAGGCCAGTAATGGAGCCCAAGCGCAGAGAGACTGTGAAAGGCAATACATGGGATAAAAACCGAGAACTGGATCTCCTGCTTGGCTACATTTGCAGATTCACCTGGATTCAAAGCAGCTGGATATGGCTGTTACAAGAGAAAGAGAAATTCTGCAGGATCCACCCATTTTAATAGCTTTTCAAACAAATAAGAGCTAAGTGCTCCTTGTGAAGGAAAACACCAGCATATAACTTTACCGCACATATCTCCTCTCTATAGATTAAATTACACATCAGAGAGAACATTAGGAATTATGGTTCTCTGACCAGACGATGCCTGGCAGATATTCTTGACATATTTGGGTGCTCATACCTGTCCTGGGGATGACTGGAGAACCACAGCTATCAGTAGTAGGAACACATTCTGAAGAAGCATTTCTGAACAAAAAAAGAGGAACTGTGATTACAATTCCCCCCTTTTTACAAAAAAAGCCCACAAAATCCTGCACAGTTGGTTCATATTTCTCCATACAGAGGCAAATATGTGAGTGAGAATGCCAGAAAACCCTCTATTGAAATTATATGCCTGCAATAACAAAATATTCACCTAGCATTAAATAGTCAGTAAAGGAGCTGGATGAATATGTTCAGAGATTTCCTGTAACCATCTTTCCAATGCTTGAAACTTTCCCTTTCTATAGTTAATTCAAAAACAGCGAATTAATGTTGAAGCTGTTTGCAGAAATCTATTTTAATGTCTTCCCACTATCCTAGGAGGTAGCGATTAGCCCCCAATACCTCCGTTACCTCTCATTTTCTGTGTCTTTTGAAGATCTGTAGGAATTTCACAAAAGTTGAATTGGAGAGACGTTTATATTGCAGGAACTGTTCCTGCTTTATAAATGAATGAATCTAAAATGGCACAAAACTGGTTTCTATTTAAATATGAGTTCACAGGAAATGTTTCTGCAAAGCTACCCTTTTGGCTGTGATTTGCCAATCCAGTGGTGACTTATAGGCTTAACAAGTATATAAACTTCATTTATTGGGATAAAACAGGCCACAACTTTACTTATTACAGCTGAGGAGGCCTTGGTTTGGGCATAGGCATTAGTCAACTCATCTGGAAACTCACCCAACTCACTCATTGGGAATACTTTGGTAATGAAATCTTGGGATTCTCTATGAGACAAAACCATCTGTCCCAATCCATGCAGACATATCCCAGTGTACTTAACCCAAATGTATTGTATGTATTGCACTGTCTCAGACAGGCTCGTAGCCGGGATTTTGATTCGGGGGGGGGGGGGGTTTGATGGGGGGGGGGGGGGGGGAGGGCTGAGTCTGAGTGAAAGAGGGTCTACCCTAGCAAACCTTTTGTATGTTACCCAATACCCCCATGCATATGAGATATATTGAGCATGGTGATCAGATCATGATATGAATAAACATAACAGTTTAAATAATGTACCAGTAAGGCCCTTTTCGCAGACCACCATGAGAATTTCGGGGGGGGGCTGAAGCCCCCAAAGCCCCCCCCTCCCCCCCGGCTACTGCCTGGTCTCAGAGGTTTTCACCAAAGGCTTTCATGGCTGGAATCACTGGGTTGTTGTGAATTTTATGGGTTATATGTCCATGTTCCAGGAGCATTCTCTCCTGATGTTTCACCTGCATCTATGGCAGGCATGCTCAGAGGTTGTGAGACCTCACAACCTCCGAGGATGCCTGCCATAGATGCAGGCAAAACTTCAGGAGAGAATGTTTCTGGAACATGCCCTTACTGCCCGGAAAACTCACAACAACCCAATCATCAAGCTATGAGAGGCAACCATGTTTTATTTCATTTGTTTTTTTTTAATATTGTTTTTTTATTCAGGAATACAGAGATACAGAAATGCAGGAAAAAATGAAGAAAAAGTTTTCCATCATATATACAATTAATCTACAACAACTAACACAACTATATTTAACACTTTGCCCATACCCACAGTAATAAACACATTCTAAACATAGGTAAAGGTAAAGGTAATCCCCTGACACTAAGTCCAGTCATGTCTGACTCTGGGGTGTGGTGCTCATCTCCATTTCTAAACCGAAGAGCCAGCGTTGTCCGTAGACACCTCCAAGGTCATGTGGCCGGCATGACTGCATGGAGCGCTGTTACCTTCCCGCCAGAGCGGTACCTATTGATCTACTCACATTTGCATTTTTTCGAACTGCTAGGTTGGCAGAAACACAACTATATTTAACACTTTGCCCATACCCACAGTAATAAACACGTTCTAAACATACAACTACCAAAACCACTGTTCTGGAATTGTAGACTTCCAGAACACAGGGGGAAGTCTACAATTCCCTCACATTACCTATGGATTTTCGCTTATTTTCCACTCCCTTTCTATCCTTCTACTTTAAATAACACTCTTCTAAATCAGAAAACCAGCAGTTGATATTTGTCACCACCTTCGCTTTTAAAAAAGGATAAAGAAGTCCCAATCTTACTTGAAGTTAGCCATTATCAAGGATTCCTCCTTAATCAGCATCATCAGTTTGTCCATCTCAGCTAAACTACAAATCTTTGTGAATTATTCTTCTTGCATCAGGATAGCTAGTCCTTTCCATCTTGGGCATAGATGATCCTCACTGCAATAAACATATATAGCTGTACTCTTCCATGTTTCCTTTCTAGTTGATTGTCCAGCATCCCCAAGAAATAAAACTCTAGTTTCATTGTGATTTTAACCTTGACAAATTTATTCTAGCATCATATTTTATCATATGTATTTGAGTACAATATTTCTGGGCTTTTTTTTTTGCAAGATCACCACATATGATAAAATGTCCCAGCATTTTTCACATTTCCAACATTTACTAGGACTGCCTTTATTCTTTATTCATCATCTTATTTTTAAAATCCTTTCAAATCATTACTCAAAGCAAATTTCAGACTCTTTGTCCAGGCCTTATCTTGTTGTTCCAATGGGATTTGTGAATCTGTATTTTGTGCCCATTTAACCACACAGAATCCTAGAGTTGGAAGAGACCTTGTGGGCCATCCAGTCCAACCCCCTGCCAAGAAGCAGGAAAATCACATGCTTTATCTCATATTGTATCAGCAATTTGTACAATTTTGCAATCAAATGATCATGCCCAGAATATAATAAACTTTCAAACTCTGATTTAAAATCTAAATATATTTTTATGCATTTTAGACTACTTATAGATTTATCTATGAGCAAACCATTGTATTGTAAAACCCTCTGTCTTTAACCTTTCTTTCATCTTTACCCCATGTTGATCATTGTGCAATAATAAGAGATCTTTGTAAGTTAACCATTTCCTTCCAAAATACATTTCTCTTTAAGCAAAGCTATACCATAGTGACACCTTTGGGAAAACCCGCTTATTTTTACATTTACTCCACAAATAGTTATCTCCTTATAAAGTGGTTTGATTTTGCTTTTATTTTATCATACCAAAGATAGGAATGCATCCCTCTGCAAACAATAGACTAAGAATGAGGCTGGAGCATGGGGTCCTGCAAGCAGCTCTTGTACTAAACCACGGAAAAACCCAGTATTATCTAAAACTCCCCACCAAAATGCCACCCAAGGGCAGGAAAAGAAACCAAATTACCCCCAGAAATGTTACAGAGCTTCACAAATCCTTACAAAAGGGTGAAACAAATGAGAATTGACTACCTACCAGCCACAGAGACAACAATGACAACTGACAAGGGAGACAGTGAGTAAAAGATCCTCACTTTTGGGTCCTAAATCAGACACTATAAATTCAGCAAACACAAGTCTGGTCTCCCCTTTTTCTCCTTTGACCTCTCAAGGGTCTAGCCCAAGATTCTCACCTGTGCGAGGAAGTAAGGAGGCAGCCTTAAGAAGGCAGTAATCTCCCCTTTTTGGGTAAGGTTCTGGAGAAGGTGGTGGCTTCTCAGCTCAGAGTTTCTTGGAAAAAACCAATTATCTGGATCCATTTCAGTTTGTTTTCAGACCTGGTTTCAGAACTGAAATGGCATTGATCACCTTGGTAGATGATCTACAAAGAGAGCTAGACGGGGGAATGTAACCCTGCTGGTTTTCCTGACCTCTCAGCAGTGTTCAATATCACATTGACCACTGTGTCCTTCTGAGTCATCTCTCTGGGATGGGACTAGGACGCACTGTTTTGCAGGGGTTCCATTCCTTTCTAGAGGATAGACTCAGATGGTGGTGCTGGGTGACTCCTGTTTGACCGCCTGACCATTGGCCTGTGGGGTCCCTCAGGGTTCTATTCTGTTACCCACGCTATTTAACATTTACATGAAAAATGGGCAGGCATGTAGCCGGGGGGGGGGGGGGGGCTTGAGGGGCTTCAGCCCCCCCCCCCGAAATTCTCATGGTGGTTCGCAAAAGGCCTTACTGGTGCATTATTTAAACTGTTATGTTTATTCATATCATGATCTGATCACCATACTCAATATATCCCATATGCATGGGGGTATTGGGGTAATGATACAAAAGGTTTGCTAGGTAGACCCTCTTTCACTCAGACTCAGCCCCCCCCCCGAAACTCAGCCCCCCGAAACCCCCCCCTGAAAAAAATTCAGCCCCCCCCCCCCGAAACGAAATCCTGGCTACGGGTCTGCCACTGGGAAAGATCATCTGGAGTTTTGGAGTTCGGTGCCATATTTATGCAGATGACACCCAACTCTATTACTCCTTTCCACCAAAAGCCAAGGATGCCATTCTGATCCTGAACTGGTGCCTGTCATCAGTAATGGCCTGGATCAGAGCGAATAGAGTGAAACTAAATTCTGACAAGACAGAGGTACTCCTGGTCAGTCATAATGCAGATCAGGGTATGGGAATACAATCCATGCTGAATGAGGTTACATTCTCCCTGAAGACACGGGTTCAAAGTCTGGGGTGATCCTGGATTTATCACTGACCCCAGAGCCCCAAGTGTCAGCGGTGACCAGGAGTATCTTTGCACAATTAAAGCTTGTGTATCAGCTGTGCCTATACCTTGAAACACCAGATCTGGCCACAGTAGTAAATGCCTTAGTTACATCTCGATTGGACTACTGCAATGTGCTCTATGTGGAGCTGCCTTTAAAGAGTGCTCAGAAGCTTCAACTGGTTGAGAGAGCAATAGCCATGTTACTAACTGGAGCTTCGTACAGGGAGAGAATAACCATGTTACAGCAGCTCCACTGGCTGCTAGTTTGCTACCAGGCAAAAATTAAAGTACTGGTGGTCATTACCTTTAAAGTCCTAAATGGTTTGTATCCAGACTACCTGACAAACTGCCTCTCCTCATATGAACCTGCTCAGATGCTGTGGTCATCAGGGGAGGCCCTCCTCTTGATCCCACTCCTGTCTCAAACCCGGTTGGTGGGGACAGGAAAGAGGGCCTTCTCTGCAGTTGCCCCCCACCTCTGGAAC